GTGTTTATTATTTTTTTTTTTTCTTTTTTTTATATCCTGTATACAAAATTTCTACCAGAAGGAGTGCTTTGATTTCAACATATAGTACCTTATCTTTTAGCAAATTGGACCAAGATGGTACTTTAGAGAGGTCATTTTTCGATTTTCTCAATAGTTATTTAATGCCACGGGAAAAAGTACTGAAAAATTACGAAAAACCGCTTAAAATGGGATTTTAATTTCTAACAATTTGTTTATCACCGTAGCAACGAATAAAAAAATAATAATTAAATAAATAAAATAATTAATGACAATATAAAATATACAGACTGACAAACCGTCTCCGTTCAGAATCGTTTTTCTTATACAATGATATTATATCATTGAATTCAAGTTTAATACAATCCATTAAACAATGACCAACTTGTAACCTACTGTGCAGCTGAGCGACATCCACTTACCTGCCTTTTTTAAAACCATTATTTTACTTTTGAAGTTTTATTAATTTATCAATGAAAAATTAACTTAGTTTATTACAATATAATTCAATACTTTATTCTTTGTTTCCTTAATAATGTAATTACCTAATACGGTTATCGCAATGAGAAATGAATGAACACTCATTTTTAACATTGTATCACTATTAGGTACATTTTAAATTTTGTAAACATAAGTTTAATTTAACCAGTTTAGTCCACCTCGTATTTCGGTCACCGTTAAGATTAAAAAAAAATAAAAATAAAAAGTGGTCTGAAAACTATTTTATTTTTAATAAAATATAGTTTTCGGTTACACATCGTTTGTTGATTTGATATTGTTCGCTACATTATTATTATAATGTTTTTCGTATAATAATAATAATGCGGTGGAAATGACAATGGTGGTTATTATAAGCGCAGAGAGATGAGTGGCCAACACCCGGTTAACTGTAACCGCCTGTAAATTATTTAGAAAATGGAGAAATTAAATTTATTTAGGTTTATACAATATATAAGTAGTCATAGGCGTAATCTGGGGTAAATTTCCGGTCTGAGGTAATACTAAAATACTATAAGGTGAAAAGATACTATTCAGTTAAATATCTGAGGGGCAGTTTCCCCCCAGATTACGCCTGTCATAAATACAGTATATAATGCAGTAGCTTACAAAATTGTTTTAAAATTATTGTATTCAGGGGCGTCAGGGTGTGCGGTAGCACCCCTTAATTTTTAAATACTTCCAATTGGCCTGCGCCCCGCTGAAGCCCAAAAATAATGCACGAGCCACGAATGCACAATTATTAATATGATTAAAATTAAATCGTATTTTAATTTTTAAATTTTATATTGACATTTTATCAATATTGGTATACTGTCAATCATGATTACAACTTTAAATTACAAATATAAACAAATATCGTGTTATCAATTAATTCAGTAAGCAATAGATAAGGTAACGGCACGAACTATGATTATAATTATGATTATAATCATAGTTCGTGGGTAACGGCAATAACATGGTATCATTGGTATCACCATAGATAATAAAGAATGGATAGGCCATTTGTGCTTATCATACGGGAATGAATAAGAAAATATTTTGAGGTTATAGTGGTATAACATAACAGTCAACAGATTACATTTCATTTCACATTGCTACATTATAAAATACATACAATTTATTATTTTACAATTTCACTATTAAAATTTAAAATGAGTGAAAAAAGAAAAGGCGGCGCTTTTCGTCAACGAGAAAAGAATAAGAAGTTATTATTAGCAGCTAGTTCTTCTTGTCACAATATTGCAAACATGTTTAAAAATAATGAAAATAATTTAGTGAAAATTATTGTAAGTACATATTAAAATAGTTTATGATGATGTATTCAATTATTGATCCATAACAAATATACTTATTTTGGAATTACAGAAATCTGTTACTATTGATAGCAATGAGTTGGTAAATGATGGAACTGATTATGTTGAAAGATGTAAAGATATTGAAGCTATTGAAAATGAATCCATAACTAATGTAAATAATTTAGTAAGCATAGATTCTGATAGAGTAGATGCCATAGAATCAAACAGCGCCAATACTCAAATTGTTGATATTTATTATAAATTAAATACAAGTGGTACAGAACCAATAACAAAACATAAAAATGAAGTTAGTATAAAGTTCCCAGAAAGCTAAAAATGAATGATAATAATTGTAATACAACTAAACCTAATTAAATATATTATTGATCCATAACAAATATACTTAATTTGGAATTACAGAAATCTGTTACTATTGATAGCAATGAGTTGGTAAATGATGGAACTGATTAAGTTGAAAGATGTAAAGATATTGAAGCTATTGAAGCTATTGAAAATGAATCCATAACTAATGTAAATAATTTAGTAAGCATAGATTCTGATAGAGTAGATGCCATAGAATCAAACAGCGCCAATACTCAAATTGTTGATATTGATTATAAATTAAATACAAGTGGTATAGAACCAATAACAAAACATAAAAATGAAGTTAGTATAAAGTTCCCAGAAAGTTAAAAATGAATGATAATAATTGTAATATAACTAAACCTAATTAAATATATTTTTAGGTTCCCGATTTATCTCTTACAAAGTATAATGATCCAGTTCAACCCATTATTTTGAGTTACCCAAAAAATAATGGAAAAAGATCATTTAATTCTACATTTTATAGTAATTTTAGTTGGATAGAATATTCCATTTTAAAAGACATGGTATATTGTTTTATCTGTCGACATTTTACAGTGGACACTGAAGTTTGTAATACATTTATTAATAAAGGTTTCAATTGTTGGAGGAAACAAACAGAATCATATAAAAAGCATATGAATAGTGAAAAACATAAATTAAATTATGAGAAATATACAATGTTTTTAAATGTGAATAAAAATAGTACTGTAGCAAGTTCACTAATAGCTGGTCGTAAAAAGGACATTGAAGAAAATCGTCAACATATTTTTTTATTGTTAAAAGCAACTTTATATTTGTCAAAACAAGGCCTTGCACTGAGAGGACATGAAGAGTCCATATCATCAGCAAATCGTGGTAATTTTATTGAATTACTAATATGTTTGGTGATAACAAAACAATAACAAAATTATCAGCTAGATATGGCCATTACACTTCACCTGAGTATCAGAATGATTATATTAAAATATTAGCTTATTGTACTAGGTTAAATATAATTAAAAAAATGTATTTTACTGGAGCTAGTGGAGCTTATTCAATACTTGTCGATGAAACTAAAGATACTGGAAAAAAGGAACAACTATCATTTATAATTAGATTTGTTGACAATGAATTAAATATTCATGAAAAAGCAATAGGTTGTTATCATATGAGAAAAGTTGATGCTGTGGCGAACCAGTGCTTTCACCACATACTCCCTCCCTATGTCGGTCGCGCTCCCTGTGTTGGCAACACCACTCGGCCCTCCGCGTCGTTCGCCAGTGTTGCCAGGCGTACGAACATGTTCGTTTTAATACGAACATTTCAACTAGTGTACGAACATAACATAAAACGAACGTTCGTACGGTTAAATACGAACATTTTGTGTAAATCTAAATTTGAAAAATTTTGAATTTTTTAGATAAGAATAAATACTGTGGTGAGGCCACAATACTATAGATATCAACCTGCTATCACATAAAATAGATAAAATAGATAAAATAAATGAAAATAAAGAAATTCAATTTCTATTCTTTGATAAGAGTTAAGAATTTAAGAACCCGATACGGGCGTGACGGCCGACGGGTGACACAAGACTATAAACTGACAATACTGTCAAGATACAAATCAATGTCAATATTGTTGATATTTCTATTTTTTGACATTAACGTCAAAACTCAGAATTTCCAAATTATAAAAATTATTAATAATTAATAATTTAATAGTAGGCAGTAGGTAAAAGTTTGATCAGCCGATTTGACACGATACCTGTTAAGTGTTGACAGTTGACTGACGAATTCGGAATTAGACATTATTAATTTGTTTTTGAAATTATTTAATATTTATTATAATATCAGGTATAATATAGGTGTATAAATTATGGACAAATTTATTCTTAAACCAGGACAAAGTAGTGCTAAGCCATCAAACATTAATCAAGAAGCAGAGAAAAGAAGTAGAGAAGTTGAGAATGTAAGTACTTATATTATTAAAATATTTTAATTATGTCATAAATGTTGTGTTCTGTTATCTGAGTCCGTAGATGATGGTAATATGTGTATTAATATTTAATATGCTGTGAATAATGAAGGCTGTTTCTCCAGTTAAGCCCCAGTTTAGGGTGATCAGATTTGGTTGTCGGTCGTCCACCAGTGAGTGCCATGTGTCAGCTGTGAATTTTAATTTGTGAATCTCATTGTATTGTATTGTATTGTGATTGAACAACTGAATTATTTATTGTATTTATTTTGTATTATTATTATCAATATATTATATTATACAGTTCACTCATACTACAAAATGTTAAGTTTATTTAATTATTGTTTTAAGGGCAAGACATATTTTTAGTAACGTAATGTTAATAATTGATAGGTAGATGATATTTGTTCTGGATCGGATTCCGATGATAGACGTTGTCGTACACCAGAATATAAACGAATCAAACGAGGTGATAGTAAACCATTGAAGCATAGAAAACAGGTGTACAGTAAGTCCTGGGAACAAAATCCTAATTTTTGTAAATGGTAAAGACCCGATGACAAAATAAATACTATTGCTAAGTGTATTATTTGTAACACAACTTTGGCTACAGAATTGGCATCGATTAACCGCCATCTAAACAGCAAAAAACATAGGGCTGTGTCAAACAGCGTGTCAAAAACTGCTTCTCTAACCGATACTTTTAATCCCAGAAATATTTCTCTACAAGAAAAAGTTAAATCAGCAGAAGTTAAGCTTGCAGCTTTTGTGGCTGAGCATAATATTTCTTTTAATACTATGGACCACTTAACTGAATTGATTAAAAGTCTTGATCCAAGCTCTGAGATATTAAAAAATTTACACATGCATAGAACAAAAACCACTGCAGTTATGAAACATGTAATTGGCAAGTGTCACAAAGAGTATCTGGTTGATTGTCTGAAAAATACTAAATTCAGTATTTTAACTGATGAATCAACCGATATTAGCTGTATTAAACAAGCATGTATCGTGGTTAGGTACTTTAATCGAGACATGGGTAGGATTGTCAGTCATTTTTTTGAATTATCTAATGTATTTGAGACCAATGATTATAAAAAAGCCCAAGAAGGAGCAACAGGCAAAAATTTATATGATTGTATATTTAAATCATTTGCCGAAATTAATATACCATTTGAGAATGTCATAGGTTTTGGGTCAGATGGGTGTAATTCAATGATGGGCGCCCATAATTCTGTTGCTAGTAGAATGATAGAAAGCTGTCCTGGTATTAGTATTTGGACTTGTATATGCCATTCTTTGCACCTTTGCGCAAGTGAAGCTTGCAAAATCCTACCTAAACGCTGTGAAGATTTAGCACGCAGTGTTTATTCATTTTTTTCAATGAGTTCTAAAAGAAGTGCCCAATTTGTGCAATTTCAGGAATTTTGCTCTACTCCAGTACATAAACTTTTACATCCAAGTCAGACTAGGTGGTTGTCTTTGCACTTGGTTGTATCAAGACTCATTGAACAATGGAATCCATTGTTTTTATACTTCCAAGATAAACATTTAACAGAACGTCTTACAATAGCTGAAACAATTTACAGTGCACTAACAGATCCTCTCATAAAATTAATATTTTTATTTTTAGATTGGATCTTGCCCAAATTTACCTCTCTTAATTCATTTTTTCAAAGTTCTTCTGTGGTTATAACTCAGTTACATGATAAAATGGTTTCAACTTATAAAGATTTACTTTCAAGTTTTATGAAACAAGATTATATCAACAAAACTCCTATACATTTAATAAATCCTGAAAATGTTGACGAATATATCCCTAGTACACAAATGTACCTTGGTATAAAAGTATTAAAAGAAATTGAAAAACCTAATATTAATAGTAATAAAGCATTGTTAAATGACTTTTATTGGAGGGCGCAACAATTCTTAAAAATTGCATGTTCACAAATTAAAAAAAAATATGATTTTAGTAATCCTTTAATGTCAAAAATTAAGTTAATGGATCCCAAAGTTGCTACATCAAAGATAAGGGAAAACAACAGTACTATATTTCCTCTTTTAAAAGTATTACCTCGATTAACTGAATTAAATGATGAACTATTACAGAATATTGATGATCAATGGAGATTATTGAATAATTTTAATATTCCAACTGATATTTTAAATAATTTAGAAGAACCTGATGTTTTTTGGTTTAAGCTGTCCAACTTGCAGATGGGTAATCAAGATTATCCATTTGTACATTTAGCAAATTTTGCTCTTGGTGCATTATCTCTTCCTCACTCTAATGCTGATTGTGAGCGAATTTTCAGCAAAGTAAATTTAATTAAGGTTAAAACCAGGAACCGATTAAATACAGATACAATCCAAGCATGCTTGTTTGCCTCACAAGAAATACAAATTAAAAATAATACTTGTATTGATTTTAAACCTTCAAAACAAATGATTGATTCAATGACAACAAGTAATCTGTATGACAAACATTGTAATGACGAGTTTTGTTTTGAAGGAGTGTGATGATAAATTAATTTTTTTTATTATATAATTATTATTAATGTGATTGACTATATTATAAACACTGTGTTATTATTTATATTATTATTGTGATTGACTATATTATAAACACTGTTTTATTATTTATATTATTAATGTGATTGACTATATTATTATAAACACTGTTTTATTATTTATATTATTATTGTAATTGACTATATTATACACACTGTTTTATTATTTATATTATTATTATGATTCCTTATAAGCACAAGTTATTTTACTATTTTACTCTATACTACATAAAAATAAATAATAATACTTATATTGATGTTAAACCTTCAAAAATTAAGCGATAAATTGATTGCCTTATCTGATAAGGCTTATCAGAACATGATAATTATTGATAAAAAAAATTGTATTGAGATACGAACAAATACGAACAATTTATGATAATTGTCTGAACATTCAACATGTTTAACCTGGCAACACTGGGCTGCCAACACTCTCTGGCTCTCTCGTTCCGCAACCGTCAACCGACTCGCACGACGCCGCCCACGAACCGCCGACGTTTTCGCCACTGGCTAACCGAACCTGTTAACTCACGTCAGACTTGAAATAAATATACCGTCTACTCAAAAACGGTTGATTGTTCCACATTGGTGACCTCGCAAAAACGAACGCGCACGCGGAACACGTGCTCCAACGACGCACAAGTTACTTGTGCCGAACACGCGCCAAGCTCCCACGAGCAAGACACTTCGCTCGACCTTGCGCATCCTCGTCCCGCGACACGCGCCATGACGGACAAGCTTAACGACGAGCACGATACACTGGCGCCCAAACCGGCGAGCTGGTGGCAGCGCCTCAACCCGGTCGCTTTCGCGCCAGCATCGCGGGAACCCGCACTCGATTTAAGCGAACAGGTCCAGCGACTAAACCTTCAGGTCGCACACCTCACAATCGAGGTCGAGCGACTAAAAAAATTGATGGTGCCCATCGCCGCGGTCGCACCGTCACCGCCGGCCACGAAGACGAACACCACGTGCTATTACCACAAGCTTTACGGCGCGAAGGCAAAGAGCTGTCGACCGCCTTGCGACATGCACACGTCTGCAAGTAATATCAAGCCATAAGCATCGGCCTTACGCCACTTTCTTTTTATTCTTTTTTCAACTCCACCACCTTCATTCAAAATTCAAATCACACTTCTAAATTCAGCATCAATCGACTCGGCTTCACCTCAAAAATCTGCATCACTTCTTCTTTCGGCCACACATCCAAATTTCTCCCCAAGCATCTCGAAACTCAAAACAATTCAATTCAATCAACAACAACCACTCAAAATTTTCATCTCAAGATACACTCGCCCGCCGTCTTTCCGTTTGAGCAGAAAGCATGTACGTCTCCACACCCCGCAGGATCGCTGCATTGAGACGCGCGCGTGAGTACGATCGCAGTTGGACGGTTGGCGAACCGTCATCTTCGAGACCGCCGTCGCGGGGAACCGCATTTCGCGCAGCACCGCGCCTCCTCCTAAACGCCCACCACCCGCCTGCGCCGAACGCACGCGCGCCGTTGCTACCGATGGCACAGCCGTCAGCACCAGCCCACGTAGCGCGTGTAAGTACTGGCACGGGTACACGGCGGCTAAGAGTTCGCGCTCATCGCGCGATCGGTTTCTCGCCTCATCAAAATTCAGCTTCACCATCAACTCATCATTCAACTTTCCGGCAGTCTACATTCCATTCCACTTGCATTGTCCGGCTTCACCTGCAATTTCAATTTCCGTCAACATTTCAACCACCGTCAACTTTCCATCTTCGTCAACAGCTCAACTTTATTTTTCATCGGCTCTCTTACATTGTTAAACCAAAAAAAAATCTGTAAATATTTTATTTTTTTTTTAAAGGGGGGAGTAATGTGGCGAACCAGTGCTTTCACCACATACTCCCTCCCGACCTCCCTGTGTTGGCAACACCGCTCGGCCCTCCGCGTCGTTCGTGACCGCAAAGTGTCGGGCGGCTGCCAACACTCTCTGGCTCTCTCATTCCGCAACCGTCAACCGACTCGCACGACGCCGCCCACGAACCCGCCGACGTTTTCGCCACTGGCTAACCGAACCTGTTAACTCACGTCAGACTTGAAATAAATATACCGTCTACTCAAAAACCAACCCGAGCGTATTTATTTCAAAACTCCTTTCGTATGTTGGCCGCGTAAGTTGCGTGAACATCACTTCGAACCTACGCGCGCCACAATGCTTTTAGTCTAAGTAAAGACATTTTTAATATTGTAACTAAGAATAATTTAGATATACAAAAATGTATAGCACAATGCTACGACGGAGCATCTGTGATGAGTGGTGTATTTTCTGGCGTACAAAAAAGAGTATCGGATATTGTTCCACATGCCGTATATATACATTGCCATGTACATCGCCTAAATCTATGTTTGATACAAACAATCCAAAATAATTCAGTTGTGGTTAATTTTTTTGACACTGTTCAGTCATTATATAAGTATTTAATGAACGGACATACACGCTATGAATTATTCATGAAAATACAAGCTGATAAAAAGTTACAAGAAATACATTTGGAACGTCTCGTTGAATCCCGCTGGTCATATTGGCATACTTCTTTAAAAAAAATACTATTACGCTACACAGAAATTAAAGATGTTTTAGAAGTTTTGACAGTCCAGGATGATCAAACTGCTAGAGCGATTGGTTTACTTGAAGAATTTTCATAATTTAAGTTTGTTTTAATTTTGCACATCATGGAACAAGTTTTGAGCACTGTTCATTGTTTATCGAGTGAGATCCAAAATTCTAAAATTTTACTACCCACAGCTATTAATTTAGTCAATTCTTTAAAAGATGAACTCATAAAGTATCGATCAGAAGAACAATTTCAAATTATTTATGAAAAAGCTAAAATATGTGCACTTAAAAATAATATACCTATAGAAAGGGACGATGAAAGAAATAACCGATTACGGCAAAAATACAAACCTTCAAAACAATTTGAAGATTATTTTGTTATGAGTACTTTGGGACAATCAAAAATTACACAGTCAAAGAATAGTACTAAAAAAATAAAAACTGATGTGTTATATGATGTGATTGACAGGTAAATATCCTATAATGATATTAATGCTTTGGGCTATATGCTTAGTGTAGCTTTATTAATGATTAGTTTTTTTGGTTGCTTTCATTTTCAGATTTATTATGCAACTTAATGAAAGATTTTCAGAATCAACCAATAACTTATTTAAGTTATTTGAAATTTTTGACCCTTCTAGTCCCAATTTTTTTAATCCAGATAGTCATTATTTAAAACTATTTATAAACCATTATAGTTATTTTAACTTTAATGAAATTCAAATTGCTTCTGAGTTTCCATCAGCAAAAGCACTATTTAATGACAAACATGATGTTGATTTGGACACCATAGCAATTTGCTTAAAAGATTTTCCTATCGCTTTTGTAGAAACTTTAAAAATTATTTCATTGGCAAAAACTTTACCAATTAAAACGGCATCAAATGAAAGGTTTTTTTCATCACTTAAAAGAGTTAAGTCATATTTACGCACTACCATGGGTGATGAAAGACTTAATGATCTGATGGTACTTAATGTTGAAAAAGAAGAAGTTAACAATATAAATTTAGAAGAAGCTGTAGATATATTTGCTGAATCGCGGAAAAAATGCCCACGGAAAAAAAATCCACGGAAAAAAACCCACGGAAAAAAAACACATGGAAAAAAAACCCATAGAAAAGAAATTACCAAGGAAAAAAAACCCACAGAAAAAAAGCCTTCCGAAAAAATTAAAATTAAAAATAAATGTAAATGCATCTATATTTAATATAATTATATAATATTTTTAGATTCTGAGTGGAACGATGAAAGTATTGATTTTACAAGATGTGTGTTTTTTTTTTTTATTTTTTTTTTTTTGTGTCTGTCATCACGTTTTAGGACAGTAAAAGTGCTTGGATTTTCTTCATCAGTAGCTTTTCTGATAGGAAAGTGAATCTAGTTGGTACTTTGGGGGGTCAAAAGTAAGAATTTCCCAGTAGTTTTCACAAGCGCCGGGAAAAACAACATAAAAATTAAGGAAAAACGGGAATTTTTACGCAAAATCGGTTTTCCAAAAAAATCGATTTTGGTTTTTGGTGTAACTCATTAACAAATTAACAAATTATTTTGAGTTAAGTTTGAGTTAAGATTTTAAAATGTGATACAAGATTCCTTATAAGATTATCTACCTTTATCAAAAAAAAAAATGTCTATAAAAAAGTCAAATTAAATTTTTATGACCTTTTGAAATTCAAATTTTTACAACATTGGATATTCACTCGATTTCTCATGTAGCGATTTCCTTATTTTGTTGTAAATCAAAAACGAATAACTGTAGATACATGAAAATTTCACTGAATATTTATATTAGCATTTCCTGTACACCATACGATTTTAAAAAGATTTTGACTCTTTTTGAGCTATTTACGGACATTTTCAGTTTTCAATTTTTTTTAGTTTTTGTTTTCTATAAATATCAATAAAGTTTTATCTGTTGGGCCAAAAAGTGTAAAAATGTAATACAAGGCTCCTGATATATTAATTTAAAATTTAATATTAAATTCATTTAATATATTTAACATTTAATATTGACCCACTTGTAACCTACTGTACAGCAGAGCGACACCCACTTGCCCACCTCTTTTTATTTTTAATCTAGTTTATACAATCTGTAAATAAAAAAAAAGTACAATAAGCAAAAATTATGTTTTTTTTTAAATTAATATGTATGTAGTTGTAGTATCTTGAGGGAAGAACCAACCAGCGAAGGCACTTTGGGAAATTATATAATTATATTAATATAATATAAATATAAGTTTGGAAAATAATATGAGTGTTTATTATTTGTTCAAGTTTAATTTTATATTACAATGGTTTTATACAAGGGGAATGGAATCACAATACACCCAATTATGTTTTATTACACATTTACTGATAATCATTTTGACATTTAATTTAATTTATATTGTTGATACCCTTATACTAGTGAATGAAGTAAGTAAATTGAACTTTGCTTAAACCAGTCAAAATATTAGTTGGGTAATAAAATTGAAATTTATTGATAAATGACAGGTATTTGTCCATCCAAATAGGTACTAACAAAATAATATGTAGTATTCCATTAGTATACACTTGGTTGTTGGCTGTAATTGTTGTACCTACTCGTCCTACACCCAAGTTATGGAGATTATTACGTCAAATAAAGGTTGTGAGAAGTTGTGTAACAACGGGTATATGTATGTGTTAAAGCATTTTGGTAAATCCAAAATAACATGGAGGTGTTCAAAAAGGTCCTCCTTTAAATGTATGGGAGAATTATACACTAACATTCAAAAAGAAGACCCTGTATTGAAGTCCGATCATAACCACTTCGGAGATAGTGAAAAGGTAGATGTGGAAAAAGCACTATGCATTATGAAACAACAATCAAAAAGTGGCCTATCTAAGCCACTAGAAGTATATGCAGAAGGAGTTGCTAAGTTGGACGGTAACGTAAGATCAAAAATGCCAGTGGAAGATCATGTGAAAAGAACTTTGAGAAATCAACGTTCAAAATTAAATCCAATTGAACCAACTAGTCTTGACAATTTGATCATTGATGGTGCGTACCTAAATTAAATTAATTATTATTATTTATAAATATTACTATTGTATTTAAAATTCATTAAAATATCATTACAATGTTCAACAGATGAGTGGTGCACTACAGGTTATCCTGCGTATGAAAATCTTTTAATTTTTGACAATGGCGTTGATTCTGAACAAAGGATTTTGATTTTCGGCACTGTAGAAGGTATGAGCAATTTATCTAAATCCAGTACTTGGTATTTAGATGGTAATTTTTCTCTAGCACCAAAATTATTTTTGCAATTGTATGTCATCCGAGTGGTTGTAGATGGTATATTTACAACTGCAATTTATTGCCTATTACAAAGAAAAACATATGAGACTTACAAACTATTATTTAAATCATTAATTGAAAAGTGTGCGGAAAAAATCTTTACCTAGATCCAAAATATGTCCACTTAGATTTTGAAAAGGCAGTAATTAAAGCTGTGCATAAATTATTTAACAGAGAAGTTAATATACGTGGGTGCTTCTATCATTTATCTCAATCAACTAACAGAAAAGTACAATCTTTAGGCCTAGAACAATTATACCGTGAAGACTCTAACTTTAATAAATTCTGTGGAATGTTAGATGGCTTGGCATTTTTACCTCTGACAGATGTTGAGCAGGGAATGTTATATTTGAAATCTATTATGCCTGATACTGACCTAGATTTACTTGATTATTTTGATTCCACATATGTAACTGGCACTTTCAAGCGAATAAATTGTACGGCAAATAATATAAAATTTAAAAAAGTTCAACCAAGGTTTCCTCCAAGTGTCTGGAATGTCCATGATGCAACATTGAGCGATGAACACAGGACAAATAACTCGACTGAGGGATGGAATCATAGATTCTCCAATCTAATAGGTCATAACCATCCATCTATATGGACATTGATAAAAAAAATTAGATTAGAAGTTGCTGTAGATGATACTAAATTAAGGCAGTATAATTTAGGATGCATACAACCCATAAAAAAAAGAAAAATAACAGTAAAAAATCAAACAACATTAAAACGGCTCTGCATGGATTACAATGAAGGAAAAAGGACAATTGACAATTTTTTAGAAGCTATTTCATATAACACACGAATAAAGCACGATTAACTTTATGTATACTATAATATTATTAATTTATAAAAAAAAAATTAAATGACGAGGTACAACTTACTCACGTTGGGTTGCATGATATTATTGATATTACATATTTACATTATGATTATGACTATGATACTATATGTTAATTGTATATTTTATTTCTTTTGTATTACTTAATTATTATTATGTTACAGTGTGACCAACAAAATATTTTTACTATAATTATTATATTTTCGATTATTAAATTTTATATTATTATTACAATTATTATTTTTGTGACTATTGTGATTATTATTATGGTTATGTTTTATTATCTGTAATATTGTGATTATATCATCACTTAAGACATTTGTTAATTATTATATTTATAGTTTGAATATTATGTACTGTAACCATGTGATTGTATTATGATAGGTATTTGAGTTAATCAACAAAATAATATAAAACACACTTTTATTTTCGTGGGTTTATTTTCCGTGGGTTTTTTTAATTTTTGGGTTTTTTTTCCGTTGGATTTTTTTTTGGGGTTTTTTTTCCGTGGTCATTTTTTCCGCTTACCATATTTGCTAAACTAAAAAATCGACGATATCCGCTTATTTAAATAAAAATTTGTTTTTTCTAGCGCTTTGCTTTTTCCAAAATTATAATAATTATGAAAATAAATGACAATTTATTAATATAGATATTAAGTCCTTTTTTTTTTTATTTGCTGCTGCATTAATTCTTCTTCTAGCTTATTATGCATAAATTATTATTGGTTTTCACTGTTAAGGTAATTAATTATTTATTATATTTTAGTATCTTAATTGATATTTACTATTTATTTTGATGCAATGATTCCGAATTTATTCGGTCCATAATGTATAGAAATAATTGAAAACAGGATAATGCACGTCAGGCACGTAATTTAGGGGGGGGCGATAGGAGCGATCGCCCCCCCAAAGGCCGTAATATAGTAATTAATAAAAAATAAATAAATCTTGAATATAATATGTAAATTGGCCGCCGACCATATTTCTCCGCCAGCTGTGGTTGCCATGCATCAATAGATAATATTATCTTTGTTGTCCTTGCGTGCCATAGATAATAAAGAATTATTATCTATGTTGCGTGCATAGAGTATACTCTATGTACTCTATATACTCTATGTGATTCTCATATCGATCTCTTATCTTGTGTCTTTTTAACGTGTTAAATACTATACTAATACTTAATAGTAGGTAATTGTAAATTGGAATTATTATTTATTAATATTTATAATTAATAATTTAAGTGCAAATTGTTAATTTTAATTTTTAAAAATGAGTAAACGATCGGTAACTCTTGCTCAGTGGTTGCTAAAAGAGCCGATTCCTGTCGAAGGTAAGAGTGATAGTTATAAACTTAAGTTCTAAAACATTGCATATTAACTGATTTTATTCTAACAAACTTATATTTTCAGAGAAACAAAAAAAATTGGAACATCCTAATCCGCCTGTATTGTTATTTGCTACTTCTGATCCCGTTATACCACAACAAATATGTGATGACATTGAATTCAGTAATGATATTGGTGATTATGTCAAAGAGAAATGTACTCAAATATCAGACTACAATAAAGCCAAAATATTAGAGCTTTCTAATATACCTGCGAATAATTTTGTATACCCATTTAGTACACACATAAAGAAAGGTAAACAAGAAAAGAGATACTTAAATAGAATTTATTTTGAAACGTACAAATGGCTAGTGTATTCTCCCAAAAAAAATGGTTTATATTGTAAATATTGTGTTCTGTTTGCCGACAAAGGAGGAAAATGTAATAACGTGGTTTTACAAAAATTGGTCGCTATTCCTTTAGTTAAATATGCAAAGATATCTGGTAAGACAGGCGACTTGGCAGTTCATAATAGCCATCAGTACCATGTCAATGCAATTACAACAGCAGAATATTTTTTATTTAACCATAAAAACCCACAAAATGAAATTATCAATATGGTTAGCACCCATAGAAATAAGCAAATTTTAGAGAACCGAGAAAGATTGAAACCAATCATAGAGTCTATTATTTTTCTTGCTAGGCAAAACATCCCACTTAGGGGAAACCATGACTCCGGAAAAACTTTTTAAAAATGAAGATTCACAACTTTCTACTGTAGAGTCATTTTACATTTTTTTTATATACCTGTATTATGTAACAATGTAACTATATTTTTTATTTTTTTTTTTTTTTTAAAGCCTTTATTCAATTAAATATTTAGCTTCACAATTATGATTTATAACTATAATAATATGATACTACCAACTAATTTATGACTTTGCTTCAGATCGCCCCCCCCCCAAAATAAGCATCCATTTACGTGCCTGATGCACGTTTGTATATCTATTTTTATATGGCCTGGTGAAATTTCAAAATGGCCTGCTTGAAACCTCGCACACACGAAAAAAAACCTGAAATGACGCCCCTGATTGTATTAAGATTATTATTACAATATTGTTGATTGTTTAGTAGACGTTTAGAAACCGGGACTTTCAAACTGCTTGTGGAGTGGACTTTCCAGACTTGTTTTTATTTTTATTATTATTTTTCAAGCAAGAAATCCTAGCATATAATATTTAATATCAATATAAATTGAATATATTAGTAAAATATGCAAGCAAACGTGAACACGACGTAACGGTAATATTTTTCTTGAAATTGAATTTTTTTTTTCAACTGGCACAAGGCCATATAGGTATATACGTATATAATTACTTCGTATATTATTTTCCTTATATTTACTTACTTGTCTGCGTATTGCAATATATTATTATGCAATACGTGAACCATCATACTCGCACAAGAATTTTAATATACATTTCCGTCCGCTTTCGATATTCGGAGGGCCTTGCTGTATTATTATTATGTTTGTTCTCAGTTCGAGGGTCAGCTGTCGGATCAACATGTCGGCCGGAGCACACGGTGTATAGGGCGTTCGGATAATCTTATACTTCTGTAGTGTTTGTCGTCGGGGAGGGGGGTTCGAATGTCAATCGAAGCACTTACGGCCCCTCGCAAATACACACGGGCGTCAATAAAATATTTAGGACCGTTTATAGACAAGCCGGAAACTCCCGAAATGCTCGTGTACATACGCATATTAAATACAATATGTGTATAGTATACAACACGACGTTTTAGTCTCGGACCGACGACGGACTTGTCAGATGGCTGTTCCCATCGGCCGTCTTGCCGTCGCAACTGCCGTATAGGATATTATGCAAACGACATCGAACGTTTTCCGTGTAAGCTATTATATAATACTCTATAGATGCGAAAAAATAAAACGGAAAGAGCCGTCAAGGAGGAAACCGACACGAGAACGTAATAATATTATTGAGAGTGTGTGCCGGAAAAAAAGACATTACCTATTTAGCGGAAAACGTATCAAGCCGGCATTAGTTTTCTTATACTGTTGTGCAAAAACGGCACGTTCGGTTTCGTTCAGTTGTTGGTTTGTTTTGTTTTTTTTTTTTTTTTATTATTCCGCCTTTGTAAATTGCTATTTTTTCTCGGCGTGGGTTCTCGGTGTCTGATGCTTTTGTTTTTAACTCGCCGAATAAATATTTGTTCTAAATCAACAAATTGTTTAATAAAGTACTCTGATCTGGACTTTTTAAAAGTAAACACAATCGCTAATTTCGCCCGCCAATTATATACTAGATGTATCATCTGGGTAAACGGGACGGGAAAGAAAACCTACGCTTGTTCTCTGCGAGCAATCTGTTTTCTCGTTTCCGTCTCGAGTTTCGAGGAATGCGAAAAATACAAATGATAATGGTAATAGTAATAAATATAAAATAAACTAGTTAACTATACTTATGTACCGCCTACACATGCATATGTACAATATAATATATTATATACTTAATATATAGGTATGTGAT